TAAGGCCTTTTGAAAACATCATAACAAGCCATGGTTTGTCTTTCCAGCTATATCTTAAATAAAATCATAAAGATGATAAATGAACTGAACCAGAATACGATCACAGGAAGATGCCTCTACTTTATGTTACTATGCAAAAACTGCATGGAATTGTGGAATAACTTCAAGAAAATATTTTAATAAAGATGAGCTTGACAGAAATGCAGCTGCTTTGGGAAATAATTTATCCCACCGTAGCCAAGAATTTTTAGAATTAACTAAAATGTAAAACAAAAACTGTATTTTAAGAATTACTGTTTCCTGTTACCTGGAGACAGAGCGTGTTTTCCTTCTGCTATGGCGACAAGAACACGAAGAGTATCTCGATAACTTGGAGTTCTGCCACAAAACAGATGAAGAGCTCTAAACCCAGAACGTGGATGCTGTCTTTCTGTTTGCAGCTTTGAGCCTGAGTCTCAAAATAGTTTTGACCATCTTCCCGCAGCTCTGATAGAGCTCCAACAGAGAGTGGCTCTAAAATGGACAGAAGTCTTTATGTATTCCAAATCCAGGGCTAACTACTGCTATAGGAAGAGAGAGCTGTCAGCAGCAATAAGGAAGTACTTTTGTACTTCGAAAATGCTTGGTTTCTGTTGCTCAGACTTTCCATGTAATTGTTTGATTGATTTCTTGGGTATCTCATCTCTCGAATGAATCAGCTCTGGGTTTTCTTTGTTTTCAGATTTTCACTTTTGCATCAGGCCATTTGTACAAGTTCTCGTGAGGTACCTTTCCAGTGTGGTTGCTTTTGCAATCATGTTTTGAAACTCTTGGTGTGTACTTTTGCATTTTTCATTAAATGCATATGCTAGACTTAGGGTAGGTGATGTGTGTGTACAAGAACACTCTGGTTCCAATCTAGGTGTGAGATAGGAGGAGAGTTATCATACTCCTGGGTCGGGGCAGTCCCAAGCACTAATATAGACTGAATGGAGAATGGCATGAGGGAAGCCCTCAGGGGAAGGATTTGAGGGTGCTGGTTGATGAAAGACTCGGTGTGAGCCAGCAGTGTGCACTCACAGCCCGGCCCAACCGTGTTCTTGGTCACATGAAGAGAATCGTGACCAGCAGGTTGAGGGAGGTCATTCTGAAGGAGCGTTTTTAATCACGTAACCTGTTGTCCAGGCTGTAATTCCATCGTGTGCACCCACAAACAAGAGCAAATGAATTGGGAGTGTTAACAATGCCACCCGGTTACTAAAATGGTCTTGCTGACTGCTGCGTGCAGGAGGCCAGCTGGATGGTTACGCTCTGCTGTTCTTCACCTTAGCACAGGGTTCTTTCTTTGCAGTTCTGCTTGAATTCATTAGGAGCTGTTTTTCTGTTTCTCATGTGTGCTTTCATGGTATGTACTTCATTGTGCTGGAAGTTAGTCAATGGCAAGCTCTATCCATTATTCTACATGAATGCATGTGTGCAAGTATGAAGGTAATATGTTTTATTTACATACGTAATGAACAAGATGCAGTATGTATCACACTTTCAAAATGTACCTGCAAGAGATGAATGACAAAAACACATGGTATCTTTCTTCTAGCTGTGGGTGTCCCCTGTTCATTTCAGGGGGAGTTGCACTAGATGATATTTAAAGGTTCCTTCTAACTGAAATGATTCTGTGGTTTCTATGATCTTCTGTGTTTAGGAATAAGCATGGCAGTGTTCATCCCAGTGGGATGCAGTATATATTTATATGCTGTTACAATGAACAAAACGCTGCTGGAGTGCAGGTGAAAGAAGGGAAACTTCAGAACTTCCCCAAGTCTTTACCATAGCTCACATACTTCAATCTTGAAAAAAAAAAGAAATTATGTTTACAAGACAGTCTTCTATATAAAATACAGAAAGGATTTTTCTTAAATATTTGGCTCCGTGCTATAATTTGAGGGAAGGAATAATGTAAACTGAAAAGCTCAGTCTGCAAGCAAGTGACCTAGATTGCTTTCGAAAAGACTTTGGGAGGATGGCAGAGCAGTGCCTTCTCTTAGGAAAACTGGGTATCTGGGTGCTGTCAGCTGTGTCCTGGGGCCGGGGTGCCAGACAGATGTGTGCGTGCCTGCTGTGCTGAGCCGTGGCTCTGAGCAGCCTCCAAGAGAACCGCTGCAGCTGGCTGAAGCTGACCAAGTGCTGTGCTTGTGCTGCTAGTGGGTTGGAAAGCCGTTTTCAGTTGTTTTGCTGTGTTTGTTCCTCAAAAAGTTCGTGAGCCTGATCAGATCAGTGATATTGAATTTTAATGCTATGCCCTTTTGCAGGACTCAAATCTGGGTATTTTAGGAAGAGTGTTTCTAGACCTGCTACAATTAGTGCTTTCCTTTGCCTGCTGCTATTTCTTTTGTTCTCTGGGTTTCTTTTGCCCTCAGCTGTGTTTGTTTCAGCCTTCCTTCCTTCACTGCTGTACCATATACAAGAAAGCCTGTAGAGCAGTTGGCGCAGTGCTCTTCAAGGACCCTTTGATATGTTAAAATAGATCCTATTAGTGTGTGCAGATGTGACCGGCTGGTTCTTCATGCCTTGCTTCTTGCAACAAAAAGAGGGCTTTGCACTCCAGAATGTAAACAATGTGTCGTTTTTTAAACAACTTCAAATTCTACTCTTTTCAAAATCTTTCTGAAACAGCTATCAGCAGTTAACGTTTAGTGTTACTCTTCTTGCCATGCTGCAGAAATCAAGTTTGGTACAACTTTGTTTCCTTCATACGCTGACAAATCTGTATGGTCTCTGCTCTCAGCCTGCCTTCAAAAATGCACATGATGAAGCTGTTTAAACATAAAATTATCCCCAAATGCTGTTACTTTTTTGTGAGTTATCAGTGTCAAGTAGAAGAAGCAGGTTTCTGTGCTAGCGACAATCGGGATGCGATTTTTGACTTTGGAATACTTTGCTGTGGAAACAATATTGCTATGGACGTGGCACAAAACAAGCTTGAGATAAATCATGAATGTACACAAATCTTAATGGATTAAATCTTAGAGTACACAAGTCTTAATGGATTACTTTTCCATTGCTGACTTCCAATTAAGAACACCAGCTTCCTGTTTTTCTTCTTTTGAAGTCCTGTCCATCTGAGCTCTTACAATTTCTAAAACAGCCTGTCGAAACAAGAATTCAGTGAAGTGACTGGAAAGTGACTTCTACTTAACCTTTCATTTTATAAACAATTGGCTGAGCCGTAAATAGTTGAAAACAGTCTATATTTAGGCCCTAATTTAAAGAACTGATATTTCCACATCTGCTTTGTCATAACTGGTAGTAGTTGCTAAATTATGAAAGCTCACAGCTATTACAGTTGCTTGGAGGATCGCTGCGTGTTCTGCCATAATGCATTCAGAAGCTCTATGCGTTGTGCATGTATAATAAGGCAGTCTAGAAGCTAGCATAGGCACTGAATTACTTCAAGTCTCAGTGACTTTCTCAAGCAAAAGCTATTGGCTTTTTGGAAAATAACTGAGAAGGACGGTGGAAGTACAGCAGACTTCAAAGAGTCAGAAATGCACTAAGAGTGAGCTGGGGGACTGCAGATGCTGCTTGCCTGCTCTGTTGTATTGAAAAGGAAGATCTTGCTCAGAATGACTGATCAGTTGTAAGTTCAAATAGTTTCTGAAGGTCAGACATTGACCCTGGTTAGACAGTAAGGCAAACTTCTGTAATTGTGGGCCTAGAAAGAAGAAACAAGATGGAGAAGTAAAAAAGCAAAGTTCCTTATCTTTAGAAATTGCTAATGTTTGTACTTTACTAATGTCAAATACCTCATTGGTTGGTATTGGGACCTATATCATACAACATCTTTGGCGATGCAAACAGTGGGACTGGCTGCATCCACAGCAGGTTTGCTGACAGCACCAAGCTTTGTGGTGTAGACAACACAATGGAGAGAAGGAACCTGGCCAGGATGGAGAGGTGGGCCCATATAAACTTCACGAAGTTCAGCTAGGCCAAGTGCAAAGTGCTGCATCTAGCTCAGGGCAATCCCAAGCACAGATATAGGCTGGATGGAGAATGAGTTGAGAACATCTCTGAGGAGATGGGAGTTGGAGATGTTTATTGATGAAAAATGGCACATGGGCTGGCAGTGTGTGCTTGCAGCTCAGAAAGCCAACTGTATCCTGGGCTGCATCGGAAGAAGCGTGGCCAGCAGAGTGAGGGAGGTGATTGTCCTCCTCTGCTCCATTCTCTTGAGGCCCTACCTGCTGCACTGTGTTCAGCTCTGGGGTCCCCAGTACAGGAAGGACTAGAAACAGTTGGAACAGGGGCTCTGAAGACGATCAAAGAGCTGCAGTGCCTCTCTTGTGAAGAAAGGCAAAGGGAGCTGGCTTGTTCTGCCTGCAGAAGGCTCTGGGGAGCCCTCATTGCAGCCTTCCAGTACTTGAGGGAAACTTAGGAGCAAGAGGACTTTTTACATGGTCTGATAGTGATAGGAGAAGGGAGAATGGCTTTAAGCTAAAAGGGAAGATTTAGATTGGATACGAGGTGGAAATTATTAAGAGGGTGGTGGTTGCCCAGAAAGCTGGGGGTGCCTCATTACTGGAGGTGCCCAAGACCAGGCTGGTTGGGCCCTGGTTGGGGGTAGCCCTGCCCTGGGCAGGAGTAGGGCTGGGTGGGCTTTAAGGACCCTTCCAAGCTAAACTGTTTCACAGTAAGTCGTCTTCTGTGCCTTCCCATGTTAAAAATAGCCTTCTTAAGATTTCAGAATGGAACTGCATATTGCAGTAAGTGGTGGAAATTATGTTGTAGCTGGTACTTTTTGACCCCTGTGTTAGTGTGTCTTACAGATTACTGTGTTTATGTAGTTGTTCTCCAAAAGCTACTTGTGAGGTAGAACACTTTGTTTGCTTTTTGCTTTTACTGTCATTTTGTGTTGTTAGCTATGAAAAGAAGGAGGAATGCTACCTCAGACTGAACCTACAGGTCTGAAGAGTTCTATAATTACTTTGCCTCTCTAACATATTGCCAACTTACTTTTTCAGAGCCATGGTGTCATGGAAAGGAATATACTTCGTAGTTGCACTGTTTTTGGGAAGTTTTTTTGGAAGTATTTTCATGCTTGGTCCTTTTCTACCTTTGATGTTTATCTCCCCGGCCTGGTATCGCTGGATCACCGACCGCATTGTGGCCACGTGGCTCACACTTCCAGTGGTAAGTTACAGTGTGAACCAAGTTCTGAGTAACTGTTCATTTTGCTTACTAATGCTTTTTTCAATAATTTGTTTTTTAAACAGACCGTAACTTTCTTAACCATCTATGAAGGGTAATACTTCCGCTCAGTGAATGTTGGCTGTATTCCTGTTTACAGTCCCTCTCTTCTACAGCTTAATGTATAGATAAATCACTGCTGTGTGTTGTTTGTACTCTTGAAAAGGCCTTTTCATGTTATCTTTATCCATTGTCAAATGCTGATCTGAGAAGGGTGGGTGAAACACTAACAAGCAAAAGGTTCTTTTAAATTGCAGAGATTCCTAAATGACTCTTCTTATAAACTTCTGCTTCCAACTGTGCTCCAGCTATCTAATTACAGAAATTACTGTATGGTATGCGCTGCTGACCTTCGCTATTCTCTTACTTAATCCTCATAGAATTTAGTTCATCTAGTTATATTAGACAAATGGTCTCAGGTCGAAAAGAAGGAATTCCTTTGGAGATAAAGTTGTCCTCACATTGCATTAGCTTTGTAGCTGGGGGTCTCTTCTTTGAACTCTTCCTGTAGAAAGGTGATGTGCATAAGGTCTCTCCCTTCATCTCTTCTCCAGAAATCAAGGGACTTTGTTCCTCTCCTTTTAAGATTTGTTTTTCTGGAATAAGATACTGTATTGGTGCTCAGAAATGCATATCTTGTGACATAAATGAAGGTTTGTTACATATCAGATTGTGTTTTTTTTTTTTTCTGTTCTGTTTGTTTTGAAGGGTTGCAAGGTTCATCTTCTAATATTGTACCCTTTTCTCCTTTACTAACTGCAATGAAATTAGGAGGTAAGCAATAATTATCAGTGAAGAGAACATAGGGACTGTAATTTCTTGCTGTGATGAAATATTGCTGAGTACTGATAGTGTCACAAGCTTGATCCTTGTTGAAAAGCTGTTTTTTTATTAGGAAACAAATTTGTTTACCAGTGATAGTGAGCGTGAACAAATGAAGTGATGTCACTGAGATTAATTTGCATTGATGATAGACTGTTGTTTTTCTTCGGTGAGTAAAGTCATAAAATTAGATGTATTATTTGTAGGCTTTGCTGGAGATGGTGTTTGGTGCCAAGGTGGTTGTCACTGGTGATGGATTTGTTCCTGGAGAAAGGAGTGTCATTATCATGAACCATCGCACACGAATGGACTGGATGTTCCTGTGGAACTGCCTGCTGCGATACAGCTACCTCAGACTTGAAAAAATCTGTCTCAAATCCAGTCTCAAAAGCATTCCAGGATTTGGTAGGTCTCTAAATGTTTTAATTGGAAGGGAAGATCTGTTCAGAAATTCTTTTGCACAGCATTGTTTATGCCCAAGTTTGAATTCTATTTCAGTTTAAAAAAAATATATATATCTTCTCTTAAATATACGTAGTATACAAGATCCTTTGTCTTCAAAGGGATCCCTGGACTGCATGCTTAAGCATTTATTTGTAAAAATATTGCTACTTTATTCACTGAAAGTAAATTTCAGATTGTAAATTTGATAATTTCAGAGAAGATTTTAAAATTCTTTGTGGTCTTTTTCAACACTTTAGCTTTGGTGGGACATGAAATAATCAGTATTTATAGTGGCGTAAGATGGGAACGGATCTGAGTTGCACATACTCAGAGAAACCATTTTAGATATGCCAAAAATTGCTGCCTAAGTGGTTTCTGAACAAATCAACAAACTTATCTGAAATAAAAGCATCCCTTTTGCATTATATTTATCTCTTAGATTTATTTGCTGTTTTATACAAAACCAGCTTGGGCAGAACATGAGTCAACTTTATCATGTTGAAAGAGTAACCTTATTTATGGTTGCTTTTTGTCAGGTCATTTATCTGAACAGATAATTCTGGCAGCATTCCATAAGGAGGAACTCTCATACTGTTGTGCTTATACTGTATTCACTTGCTGGGTATTTAGTCCTAAGTAAAAGCTGCAGCTAGGTAACCCACTTTTTTTCCTAATATACAAACATGGTCAGTTTTACTTGACAAAAGACATCTCCTCTAGCATTACAGGAAATGAGAAAATATGTATTTAGATAAATGTTTTCAGAACACAGTGGAGATGTTTTGAAGTCTTGGAATCGGCTGCACATGCAACTTTTAAAGGAAATATTGGAAGATGGAATCCAGGATAATGCTCTGCAAGTCTGATAGATTAATCTTCAAAAGAAGCATGTTTTTGGGTTGTTGCTTTTTTTTTGTAACTAAGCATGCGTGTGCCTGCTTAGTATTAGAATGCCTTTAATAAAACTCGAAGGTCAGCTCAGGAGTCTGGGATGTTATGTGTGCCTGCCAAAAGTTTGCTCCTGAAAATGCCTCTAGCTGCTCAGAAGTTTTTCAGTCCTCAGAACATAAACTTAGCATATCTAAGAGATGTGATGAATGAGCTCTGGCAAACACGGTTGCAGCAATCTTACCTGCTCACAGTAACATCTTGGTTCAAAGTCTGACTTAGGTGCTTAAGCTACTGCTGGCATTCTGGATTTGTACTCCATATTGTTAACTGCGATGGTGGAGGTAGTACAAACAGACACTTCTTTCGTTCTTGTGGGATGACAGTTCCTGGCAGTAGAGTGGATGCCTGGATCTGTAGTGTTATGAACTGCTAGTTACGTGCCAAATCCTTAAATATCCTCTGCAGTATATGTGCTTTGAGTGATTTTGATTGCAGCGTTGATATTTTAGCTTAATTTTTAGTAAATTATTAATCTAATTTATCACAGGAGGAAATTCAGCCAAACCACATCCTTAACTCAAGCCATAATTTGATAGTCTAAGTCATGAATGATAAGCATCTATTCAACTGCAGTATATCTAAAAAGAGGCCTCAGAAATTCGAGTCTCCCTGTTCAGTCAGCCTGTATTTTGGGTAGCAGATTCTTGCAAAAATGAAGTATTCCCAATAGATGGCAACTGAATGGTGAGACTCTTGGATTAAATGAAGTTTGACAAAAGATTTCATTATGAAATTACGTTTGGGGTGGATGTTGATGCAGAGAATGGTGTCCATAAAGAACAACCCTGCAGTAAAAGTAGAGTTTCTTCTATTTACCTCTAGTGGCACTGCTGCGTTACGTGATAGACCTTCAGTAGGTATTTGCCAGATGTTGTTTGTTGAAGTGTGTTCTGTGGTTTTTACATAAACATTTTGCTCATTTTATAAGTTTTAAGGCCAGAACATAGCTTAAAAATCAGGTGGACAGTTTCAGTGCACTGCAGCTATGGTTCAATACATTATGTATTGATCATTAAGGTATGTATGAGATTCTCCTGCTCCAAGTGATATAAATGGTAGGTAGAGCAAGGCTGTGAATGGAAATAGATCCAGAGTCCTTGTCACCTCCTTTGTAGGTGAAAAGTGTAAAGGTATCATATTTAATAAGTCTATATTGCAAGTAGGCAATTATTTCCAGTTAGTTATAATTAAAATCAGAAGAGAGTATTTCAAGGAGAAGCATAGAGTCACTTATCTAGTTGTTAAATTATTAATTCTTTGCATTCCAATATATCCAAAAACTTTAACTTGATTAAATGTGAGCCTTAAATAAAGAAACCCAGCAGAAAAACAGATGGACCTTCTTTCCTGGAACCGTACCTTTGGCTTGATGAATTGTGTGCAGTAAAGTTTTTGAAAAGTGGTATTAAATTTCAGAAACATTCTTGCAGCATTTCAGTACAACTTGCCCAGGCTGGAGTCTCAGGAGAGCGCTGCTCTGCTCTGAGCTGTTGCTGCAGTTTCTCATATGACATCATCAGCAATTACTGACATACTCTGCAATGTCAGTTTTCAAGGAGAATTTCTAATAGCATTGTCAGTTTCCTGCACAGCTGACAAGATAGGACTTTTCTACAATTATAGATAGGCACAATTTATATTTTCCATTAAAAAAGTAGCAGAGGAAGTGATAGAGGTGGTGATGCTCTTGTGTTCAACATACGCTGTGGAATACATAATGTCCAGATAGGTTCCAAGGAGCATACACAGCAATGTCAGATGACCAGGTAATGACTAAGTGATGAGTTAGTTGCGTCTTTTCATGTTTTCTTCATAGTTTCATTTGTACAAGCCTTGATTTGACATGAATTTCAAAGGAACTGGAACTAGAGATGTATTTCAGTGATTGGCAATTTGGATATGCTCGTTGTTGCAGGATTTTTAACTCCTGGTGGGCTTGCAGTCATACATCGATTTTAGTGCCTAAATGTGCCTCAGCATTTGTCCAACAAAAATCAATTAGTTTTTCATTACATTTGATCACTCTCAGAGAAATGGGTGGAAAAATGAGAGGGTAACTAGGGGTAACACAACAATTCATGGCTGCTGTGTGAGATTATGTTCGTTCTGGTTTTGCTTAACGGAATGGAAAAGATAACATAGTATCTGAGTGCACAAATGGAAAGTATGAAGGTGCTTTAAGCACTGCTGATGGACAGATCTTGAAGACTTAACATTTTAAAAACTGTTTGCTAAGCCTGGAGTGTATTGTGGCAGAAAACGTCAAGGCGATAAAGGAAAAAGAAGACAACCAATAAAATAAGCAAAACTGGCAAATCTAGAGGAGTTAAGATCTGAGTTAACTGACTAACTCTGCCCAGATCTTCATCTGTGTATGCAAGTAATTGTATGACTAATATTGCTCTTACATAGACTGTAGGATGATGGAGCTTTTTGGTTATTTACCACTTGTCTATTCACTCAAGTTTGTAACTCTCAAAGGGCCAAATCTAACTTGAGCCTTGTTTTGTAAAGTACCAGGGAAGAAGAGGATTTGTGATTTATTACAGCACTAGGCTTAGCCCCACCAGTATTCTCCTTCACATCGTTGGATCCATTATAGCTGTCCATTTGTGTGAGCTTAGCCTGAAGCAAATTCAAAGAATTTGAGCCATCTGAGTTTTCCATGAAGCAGGACAAAACAGCTCCAATTATCCTGCCTTTGCCATGGGCTAAGAGTGTACATACAGTCAGTTGTATGTATGTGATGGATCAGCTATCTTGAAGTAAAATATTGGTGTAGCTAACCTTACAAAATACTATCAGTTAACTCAACCAAAGTACAGTTACAGCGGAACACTGCAAGGAATCTGTACACATTCATATTGGCAAAGTGCTTGTGCTACTTGCAGCTGCTTCTATAGGTGAGATTGTAAATACTTCAGCGTAAAGCATCTTTGTGCAGGTTACAGTGGATTGGCATTCACATTCTTATCAACAGAGCATACTGGTTTTAAAAATTAAAACTATAACCTATTGAACTTCCTGGTATAGCTAATGTTTCAGGTATCTTTGTTATGATAATATAGTCTGAAATTAGAGTTTTCAGATGTGACATCTTGTCTTGTGGAAATTCAATTATGAGCTGCCAGACTTAATTACTTTCTAGTTTTTATCCTAGGTGATTTTGAAAGTGGAATTTAGAGAGTATGCTCTCTAATGGAAAGCACAGTTATTATTCACGGGTGTGTGTGGCAGTGGGAGATCCTCTTGCATTCATCTGGAGATCGCTGCAACCTCTACTCTCTTTTCTTCTCTGAAGTGACTGGATACCAATGCATGTAGCAGGAAGAATGATCAGAAAGAATTAGAGCTCAGTGTGTAGCTGGAGGATCACGACCTCACTGCAGTCACGGAGACGTGGTGGGACATGGTAGTGGAGTTGCTCATTATGGTGACCTGATGGACATGAGGAGCTGGGAGTTGTGGTGGACAACAGGTTGGCATGAGCTAGCAGTGTGCCCTGGTGGCCAAGAAGGCCCATTGAGTCCTGGGGCGCGTTAAAAAGAACGTAGCCAGCAGGTCAAGGGAGGTGATTCCTGCTCATCCTATAGTGCCCTGGTGAGACCACATCTGGAGTACTGTGTCCACTTCTGGTCTCCCCAGGTCAAGAAAGAGAAGGAATTCTAGAGAAAGTCTGGTGGAGGGCCACCAAATGGCTAGGGGCCTGGAGCGTCTCCCTTATGAGGAAAGCCTGGGAGACTTGGATCCGTTCAGCCTGAAATAGACTGGGAGGAGATCTTATAAATGCTCATAAATACTTAATGGGCAGGAGTCAAGAAAATGGAGCCAGGCTCTTTTCGGTAGTGCTCAGTGACAGGGCAGTAGGCACAAACTGGAGCAGAGGAAGTTCTGTGTAAACGTGAGGAAACACTTCTTTCCAGTGAGGTTGGCAGAGCACTGGAACAGGCTGTCCAGAGGGGCTGTGGAGTCTCCTTCTATGAGGATACTCAAAACCTGCCTGGATGCTT